CCACCAACCTCAGCCTCCCACTGTGCTGGGATTATAGGCTTGAGCAACTGCACCTACTCAACAGGTGATTTTTTTTTTTTTTTTTTGGCCAGGGCTAGGTTTGAACTGGCCACCTCCCGTATATAGGGCTGGCACCCTACTCCTTTGAGCCACAGGTGCCTCCCAATAAGAGCTTTTCTTGATGAATGATCTGTGGGGCCAGCTCTTCACAGATGCCTGAGGCTATGGTTTTTCTTTCATAGAACTGAGCCAGGTGGAGAGAACAGCAAGGGAGGAATGAGTTTGGCAAGTTCAAGGAACTGCAAGGAGACCCATTAGGCTGGTACAAAGTGAAGGCAGGGGATGGGGGATCAGGAATCAGTTTCATCAACTGTAAAATGGGATAATAGAGTCATTGGATGCTTCAAAGAGTTGCCATGCACAAAGGGCCTACCTATTGAAGCTCACAGTTTCATCCATAGCAGCACAGTAGCACCTGTTCATAGGATGCCTGGACATGTACCCAGAGATGCTACTCTAGGGCAAAAGAGGGTACACCAAGAGACCTGTATCCAGTGTTGCCTCAGGACATGCTCTACTAACCTATGGACACAGTCACAAAGGGGCCTCTGCCAGCCTTCCCAGGTTCTAATCCAACCCCCTCCCTCTACCCTTGGGTACCACAGACATCCTCAAGTCTGTCCTGATCATCTTCGTGATGGGTGGCCCAGGCAGTGGAAAAGGGACACAGTGCAAGTATATGGCCACCAAGTACGGTCTCTACCATGTGGGGCTGGGCCAGCTGCTGCGTCAGGAGGCCCAGAGAGGCACCCAACGGGGCCGGCAGATCCATGACTTCATGCTGCAGGGGCTCTTGGTGCCAACGGTGAGAACTCACGGGTGGTGGGGAGAGTAGGAAGAGGGGCCATGGGAACAAGCCACGCAGGAAGACCTCAGCTCCTGGCTTGGCCATTGCCTTTTCAGGCTGAGCCTCTATTTTCCTGTATACAAAATGGGGAGACCACAACAAAAGGCTGTAGAGAGGTTTAGATGACATCACCCCTATAAAGCATTAGGCAGACTGCCTGACACTTAAGAACCACCCCATATAATTAGCTAGTTTATTCCCTTCATGACTCTGCAAGTATCACTGAGCCCTTCTGAATTGGCTTCCTCACCTGTAAAATGAAGGGAAGCTTGGTACCTCATAAAATTGAGGTGATGATTAAATGACATGCAAAAACCTCAGCTTCTGGTAGGCATCCCCCCTCCCCCAGTAAACCACTGGCCTCTAGTTCTTAGCAGTGGTCTCCCTAGACCAGGCATCCTGAAACTATGGCCTGCAGGCCACATGTGGTCCACCAAGGACATTTAGCCAGGTGTTTTTGCTGCTGCTGCTTGTCCTGCTTAGCAGCCGACTCGTCCCGAGGCCTGCAGTCCGGCCCTCCAGCAGTCTGAGGGACAGTGAACTGGCCCCCTGTTTAAAAAGTTTGAGGACCCCTGCCCTAGACCATCAGAGCAGACTCAGAATCCAGGCGCTGAGCAGGGCATTGTCACTCTGTCTTTTTCTTTTTTCTTTCTTTCTGAGACAGTCTCAAGCTGTCGCCCTGGGTAGAGTGCTGTGGCATCACAGCTCACAGAAACCTCAAACTTGGGCTTAAGCAATTCTCTTGCTTCAGCCTCCCAAGCAGCTGGGACTACAGGTACCTGCCACAATGCCCGACTATTTTTTTTTTGCTGCGGTTGTCGTTGTTTTAGCAGGCCCAGGCCAGGTTCGAATCTGCCTGCCTCAGTGTGTGTGGCTGGTACCCTATTGAGCTACAGGCATTAAGCCTGTCACCTTGTCTTCATTTGAGATCCAGACTAAGGAGGCGAGCTTGCTCTGGTGACCCTCATAGAAACTGGTTACCCTAGGGTGAGGGTCATGGTAAGACATGGGCCTTAGGCACTGAATCCACCTGCTTCCTTCCCAGGGCATCATCCTAGATATGGTCAGTGAAAACATGTTGTCCCACCCGGAATGCCAGGGCTTTCTCATTGACGGCTTTCCCCGGGAGCTGAAGCAGGCCCAGGAATTTGAGCTTATCGTGAGTGGCCCCAAAGTGTGAGTGTGTGCATGCCTGCATGTATGTGTCAGGGTGCAAGGCCCATCCCTCCCTCCCAACCTTGGGTTAGGCTGCACTGCTTGGAGAGCAGAGGGCCTGAGACTTCAGGGAGGTTCTGAGAGGAAAATGCAGTGTTTGGTTATCAAGGGACAGTCAAGGTGTTGGAATCATCTAGAACCCATGTAAAGAGATAACAAGCTCTCTGAGGGCAAGAAGGAAGTTATTTCATTATCTTTCTGCCTTGTTACCAGCACCTGGGGGATGAACAGTTTACCCACTTAGTAGCAGGTGGGTTCAGCCTCTTCCCTAGGCCATAGAGAGAGAATACATAGCATAGTTGTTCATTCATCTGTTTATTCAACCTCCCAACTGCCCATCCCTTAGAATAAGACTTGTACTTGGGGCTAGGGGTACAGAGTTCATAAGACACGGTCTCTGCTCTTAACAAAGACATTTCATTTCTGGCATCATTAAGTGCAATGAAGAACAGAAATAGAATGAAGTTCTGGAGAAATGGGAGTGGGCGATTTCAGATTGTGTGGTCCAAGTGGTGACATAGGGACATTGGAGCACTGAGTGGAGGGGGAGGTGCTGGCACTGAGCAACTTATAGTGAATATGAATTTCTTCAGGTTATCTGTTTTTCTTTTTTCTGTTGGTTGGTTTTATTTAACTTGCCACTTTAGGAAAGACTCCTCCCCCTCCCCTCCCTTCATTTCTTCTTTTTTTAAGAGAAGGGATTGCCCAGGTTGGAGTGCAGTGGCATCATCATAGCTCATTGCAGCCTTGAGCTCCTGGGCTCAAGTGATACTCCTGCCTCACCCTTCCCAATAGCTAGGACTACAGTAGCTTGTTGTGCACCACCAAACCTCGCTAATTTTTCTATTTTTTTGTAGAGATGGGTGAGCATGTCTTTTCTTTTTCTTTTTTTCTTTTTTTTTTTTTTTGAGACAGAGCCTCAAGCTATCCCCCTGGGTAGAGGGCCATGGCATCACGCTCACAGCAACCTCCAACTCCTGGGCTCAAGCGAGTCTCCTGCCTCAGGCTCCCAAGTAGCTGGGACTACAGGCGCCGGCCACAACGCCCGGCCATTTTTTGGTTGCAGCCATCATTGTCTGGCAGGCCCAGGCTGGGGATTTGAACCCGCCACCTTAGGTGTATGTGGCTGGTGCCCTAGCTGCTTGAGCCACAGGCACGGAGCCAGCATGTCTTGCTATATCGCCCTGGCTGGTCTCAAACTCCTATCCTTAAGCGATCCTCCATCCTTGGCCTCCCACAGTGCTGGGATTACCAGTCGCACCACTGAATCCAGGCCAGGTTAATTTTACACCTCACTGCAGACTTCATGAAAGGCCCCCAAGGGACACTGTGGACCTGTGGCACCTGGGAGGGGTGGGTGGGGATCATTCCCATTCTGTTTTGAGTGGTTAGGCAGGGAACGTGAAACTGCCCTGCAGGCTGTAGGCCTCCTAGGTTTTTCTGGGACTTGCTGGATCCCAGTGAAAATCCCTTTCGAGGAAGTCCTGGCACTTTGATAGAATCCAGAGATCTTGGGGGTCTCGGCGCAGTCAGCTTAAAGAGAGATTCTTGGGCGCCCTCTCCCGGACTGTTCCCCACGGGCAGAGGCTGGGCCAATTCCTTGCTCTGCGGACCTCACCCCTATGCCTAGCCGGCAGCAGATGCCACCGCGGGGTGGATTCCACAAGTGGCCGCAAAGTCTCAGAACGAAGGCTGCAAATCCCGACTCCCCGGGGGCCCGTCTGGTACACCATCAACCTGTTGGGTTTGGACTGTGTGGTGCTTCACTTCTTTTTTGGATTCTTGGCCAGCGTTCAACAATGGGGAGCTAACATATCAACCCCCACCCCCCAGCTTTTCTCGAAAACAGACTGACTTGGCAGTTCGGGGACCTGCAGGTCCCCATGGCAACAGCTTGGGCGCTGTCGGAGCTTTACTCAAGCCCTCGCGGCTCCCGGAGCTCTGCACCGACGCGCTCATCTACCGGCGCTCGCAGCAGGATCAGAGGGCTGGCCCGGGGTTTCACCCTTTAGGCGGTGGAGACAGGACTGAAGCCCAGGTCCTTGATGCTTTTTTTTTTGAAACAGAGCCTCAAGCTATCCCCCTGGGTAGAGTGCCATGGCCTCACAGCTCACAGCAACCTCCAACTCGTGGGCTCAAGCGAGTCTCCTGCCTCAGCCTCCCGAGTAGCTGGGACCACAGGCGCCCGCCACA